CAACAACAACAACAACAACAACAACAACAACAACAACAACAACAACAACAACAACCAGAACAACCAGAACAACCAGAACAAGAACAACAACCAGAACAAAAAAAGAACAAAAGAAAAGCAAAAAGAAAAAGAACGAGACAGAGCCCACGAACCCGAGCGCACATCACTTTGCGCAATCCCAAGAAAATGATTAGAGAGAACTTTTCTCGATATAAGCCAATGGGGCTCGCAATCAAGCTACTGCGCAAGCAGTGTTTTTCAGCTTGTAAAACTGTACTTTGCGTTCTCCACTTGTTGCTACAAAGCTACGATTTTGAATCTGGAGCTGGACACCTGCGCTTTGCGCGCTAGACTTGCACTTCAAAGTTGTGATTTTCCAGAAACCTGTACCTCGCGCGCTAGACTTCAAAGTTGCGATTTTCCAGCTGAGCTGAAAACCTGTACTTTGCGTACTAGACTCGTACTACAAAGTTGCGATTCTCCAGCTGGAGCTAAAAACCTGCACTTCGCGTACTACACTTGCACTTCAAAGTTGCGATCTTCCAGCCAGAGCTGGAAACTTGTACTTCACGTACTATACTTGCTAGAAGGTTGTGACCTTCCAGCTAGTGCTGGAGACCGCGCTAGACTTGTGCTTCACAGTTGCAATTCCCCAGCCTGGTACTACAAAGTTGCGATTTTCCAGCTAGAGCTGGAAACCTGTACTTCGCGTGCTAGACTTGTACTGCAGAGTCGCAATTTACAGCTGGAGCTGTAAACGTGTACTTCACGTACTAGACTTGTACTACAAAGTCGCGATTTTCCAGCTAGAGCTAGAACCCTGTACCCTTGCGTACTAGACTTGCACTACAAGTCGCGATTTTCCAGCTAGAGCTAGAAACCTGTACTTCGCGTACCAGACTTGTACAACAAAGTCGCGATTCTCCAGCTGGAGCTGGAAGCCCGCACTTTGCGCACTAGACTTGTCAAAGTTACGATTTAGCTGGAAACCTTACTTCGTGCGCTAGGCTTGTACGACCAGGTTGTGATTTCCAGCTAAAGCTGGACTTCGCGTACCTGTGCTTCGCGTGCTAGACTTGTACTACAAAGTCGCGATTTTCCAGCTGGAGCTGGCAGCCTGTACTTCGCGCGTTAGACTGGTGCTACAAAGTTGCGATTTTCGAGCTGGGGCTGGAAACCTGTACTTCGCGCGCTAGACTTGCACTTGCAAGTTGTGATTTTCCAGAAACCTGTACTTCGCGCGCTATACTTGCGCTACAAAGTTGCGATTTTCCAGCTAGAGCTGGAAACCTGTACTTCGCGCGCTAGACTTGCTCTACAAAGTTGCGATTTTCCAGCGCGCACTAGACTTCTGAGCGACACGTCTGAGCACAACTTCTGATTGACACTTCTGAGTGACACTTTTCAGCGACACCTGCTCAACACTTCTGAACCGCACTTTCTCTGATCAACACTTCTGAGCAACACTTCTGAGCGACACTTTTTCTGATCGACTTTTCTGAGCAACACTTCTGATCGACACTTCTGAGCAACACTTTTGATCCGCACTTCTGATTGACACTTCTGATCGACAGTTTGAGCAACAATGCTGAACCACACTTCTGATTGACAATGATGAGCAACACTTCTGCTCCAAATTTCTCATCGACAGTTCTGAGCAACACTTCTGACCAACACTTCTGATCCACACTGCTCATCGACACTTCTGAACGACACTTCTGAGCAACGCTGCTGAATTGACACTTCTGAGCGACACTTCTGAGCAACACTTCTGATCGACACTTTTGGCCGACACTTTTGGCCGACACTTGTGAGGAACCCTTCTCATCAACACTTCTGAGCAACACTTCCGACCCACACTTCTCATTGACACTTCTGAGCAACACTTTTGAGCGACACCTAACCAACACTTCTGAACCACACTTTTGATCGACACTTCTGAGCAACACTTCTGAGCGACACTTTTTCTGATCGACTTTTCTGAGCAACACTTCTGACCCACACTTCTCATTGACACTTCTGAGCGACACCTGATCAACACTTCTGAACCACGCTTTTTCTGATCGACACTGCTGAGCAACACTTCTGAGCGACACTTTTTCTGATCGACCTTTCTGAACAACACTTCTGATTGACACTTCTGAGCGACACTTTTGAGCGACACCTGATCAACACTTCTGAACCACACTTTTTCTGATCAACACTTCTGAGCAACACTTCTGAGCGACACTTTTTCTGATCGACTTTTCTGAGCAACACTTCTGATCGACACTTTTGAGCAACACTTTTGATCCTCACTTCGGATTGATACTTCTGATCGACAGTTTGAGCAACAATGCTGAACCACACTTCTGATTGACAATGACGAGCAACACTTCTGCTCCAAATTTCTCATCGACAGTTCTGAGCAACACTTCTGACCAACACTTCTGCTCCACACTGCTCATCGACACATCTGAACGACACTTCTGAGCAACACTGCTGAATTGACACTTCTGAG